TAGACGCATTAACTAAAATATGTTTGAATCAGATACTTTTATCCATTATGTGAACCTTTGAGGTGTAAACTTGGATATATATGAATACATAAACGTTATAGGGCAGTGGTGGGTGACCTATGCCTGTAAGCCACATGTGGCCCATCAGGGTAATCTGATTGCAGGCTGTAAGACATTTTGCTGTCATTGACCATCTGCAGGCACTCCCCCCTCCGCAGCTCTCAGTGACCATAGTTCTTGGCCAATGGGAGCTGTGAGAAGTGGCACCTGCAAGCAGGCCTGCTGACGGGTAGGACAAAGGGAGCAGTTTCCCTGAGACCCAGTGATTCAAAGGGCCCCAGGGCTCCTGGCCACAGCCACTGCTACTGTGGCAGAAGCTGGGAGCCCAGGGTCCTTTAAATTGCTGCGAATGCTGCTTGGAATGTGTGGCATTCTAAGGGCTGATGGGAGAGGCAAGCTGATGGCTGCCCAAGGGCCCATATGGTACATTGTAGACAGGGCTCAAGGCTGGCTGCCTCTGGCCTCTTCGCTTCCACCTTAGGCCTTGCCCCTTCTGGGAACACAGAACCAGAATGCCCCTCTCCCACACACTTTGCCCAGGGGCCCACAGAGTCTGTTGGCACCCCTGCCAGCAGGTGAAGGTGCCACAGGGATATTAAGGCTGTGTAGTGTGTGATAAGTTCTTGTTTTGTCAGGTGAGCTTTTTTTCTCTTTGTTAGCAGCTCCTCCTCACAAAAATACTTGCTAGCAAACTCTCCTCCCCTCCCCTAAATTTCTTGATGAAGTTTGCATTTTATATAATAATTAAGAAATGCTGTGATTTAGTCTACCACTTGTAGTAACCCAAGACCAAAGCCATTTAAACCTGCCAGATCTAGATTTTGCAATTCCAGTTGCGTCAAATTCCATTTGTATTATAAATGTGTATTCTGGAGCTGTATTTATTTTTCCTTTAATTTGTGTTTTATAATAATTGACAATCAATCCTATGCCTTTATCTTATATATGCTGTCTTGTGGTACTGTGTCTGGGTAGCCTTGTAAAGAAAAACTCCCCAGCAGTGTTACTTTGAGGAAATCCAGTAGATTTTTATCACTTTAGGCTGAAGGCCTGTGAATACAAATTACTGTATACTGGTCTCATGGTTGAGCTTAAGCTTATTTGGGGGACCTGAGTATGGAAATATTTTATATGTTGTATGAGCAGAAAATACCATAACATGTATGTTGTTTCCAGGCTTGCTACCAGGGGTATGTGTAAAGGGAGGAAATTGCCTTGGGACCTGGTAGTTCAAAAGGACAGCTGGAGCTCTGGGCTCTTTATCTCACTGCTGGAGTGCCATCCTGTGTGCTCCATGCAGCTCTGAGGGACAACTGGGGGAGGTTCGCCAGACAAGGCTGGCTGCCTTCGGTCCCACCCCTTCCAGGAGCACAGAGGTGCCCGTGCTCACCTTGTCCTACGGAGGCTGTTTGCTCCCATGGTTGTTTCCATTTTTTTATTGGATTTTTTTTTTTTAATTCTGAACACACAGTATAAATATCTTCAGAAGCATACATTTAGAGACCAAAAACTATTAATGTGTCTGTTTGATTGACATTCCAGTTATTCATTCATTTATTGATAGCTTTGACCTAAAACAGTCACTTTAATGCTGCGAGTATACATCTGAGACAATACTATTGCAGTTTAAGAATGAGTCTGAAAAGCTCAATTTACAACTGAAAACTTAAATGTATATGTGTAAATGCTGTTGTGCCTCACAAAAATGTGAGTAGTTTTCAATAAAAACTGATTTTAAAGATGTTAACTGAACTTGCATCTGAAGCAGAAGAAAATACTGATTATATGAAGCTTTATATCCATCTGTATTTCATCCATAGTATATCTCTCTTGTATGACAGTAATATAGTCTTGCAACATCTCCTTGCAGTTTTGAAATTAACCTGTAATTTAGTCTTCACCCCAAATGACAAAAATTCAAATGACTCTGTGGGGTGCCAGAAGATGCACTGTAAATATGGCTTAGTAAGGGCATATGGTAGAGATCCATCAAGATAGGCTCATTTTCACGGTGTCAGTAATATTACAATAACATTAACATGTTTTCTACATTTATATTTTACTTTTTAATACATTTTAAATCCTTAAGAGATGAAATAGTAATAAAAGCAAGAGCAATGTAAAATTTTGATTAAGAAACAAGAGTGATACAACATGAACATGGCACGTGTTAAATAGGTTTAAAAACTGGCTAACTGATAGGTCTCAATGTAATTAAACAGGGAATAATTACTGAGCAGGTATGTATGTAGTGTGATTCCACAGAGGTTTTAGTTTTGTTTTGGCCGTATGCAATTTAACATTTATCAGTGACTGGGGGGGGGAGAGGGAGGCGCAACATAAAATCATCTCTTATAATGTTTGGATCTGACACAAATATTAACAGAGTAGTAAATAATGTGGAGGACAGGTCTCTTATGCAGAGCAATCTGAATCAGTAACATTGGTGGAAGAAAACTATGCTTTTTAATACAGTCAAAAGTGAAGTTATATGTCGAGAAACAAAAAATACAGGCCATATTTACAGGATGGTGGACTCTGTCCTGAGGAGTAGTAAGTTGGAAAAAACCTACATGTGCATTTCCTATGCTATGCTGTCCTGTGATTTGGGATACATAATTAAGGTAATTTCAAGTGTTCTTTGAAGCTGGTGAGATCCTTACTAGAATAGGTGTGTTGTCAGCAGTTTCAAAAAGGATGTTGATAAATTGGAGGAAGTTCAGAGAAGAGCTATAAGAATGATTGAAGGACTAGAAAACATCCCCTATACTATAGCCAAAAAACTCAAGGAGATCAGTCAATCTGCTTATCTTTTGAAAGAGAAAATTAAGGTCACTTGATAAGTTTGTAAGTATCTACACAGGGAACAGAAATTTGAAAATAGAAGCAGCTTTACACTATAGGCAAAGGTATAATAAAATCCAGTGGCTGGCAGTTGAAACTAGACAAATTTAGATTACAAATAAAGTGAAAATGTGTAACAGAGAGAGAAACTTTCAGAACAACTTACCAAATGTTATGTTGGATTCTCCATCACACGGAATTTTAAAATCAAGGCTGAAAGTTTTTCTAAAAAACATTCTCAAGTTCAAGCAATACATTCAGGCAAGACCTAGGGCAGTCTATATTTGGTAAGAGGTCAGAAGAGATGATCACAATGGTCCCTTCTGGCCTTATCTATGAACATTTGTGTTTCTTTAAAAAGAAGATATGAAAAGTTTAGAAGTGGATTAACTTTAAATGACCATACAATTTATATAATTTAATTAAAGTTTTTTGAAATACTGTTGAGGAGCTGCTCCATAGAAGTTGTTTTAAAAATTATTATTGTTTCAAGTCAGCTACTGTATGGATATATCACCTGCTTTAACAGGCTTCAAACACAGCCATTGATTCCTACCTACTTTCACCAGCCTTTCTCTGGTTGTTATACAAAATACAGGAAGGATCAAAATATCTTATACAACATATGTTGACGTTTTGCTCCACAGATTATTTTTATGTATTGTTCCTGTGTCATCTCCCTACTCTCCAAACTGTTTCTTATATGGAAGAAAGAGGTTTTAACTTAACTACACTGGACTCCTTAACCTCTGATTTCTCCTCATCCTTTACTGTATTTTAACTGTTGTCCTGTGCTTTGTATATTAGATAAAAAACTCTTTAGGAGAGAGATTTTTTTATTTTTTTGTGATCTCTTTTAAAAACACTTTATTTTTACAGTGCTATATAAATTCTTAATTATTTCAAAACTTCTGGATGAGTATATTTAAAATATATTGGTGTTTGAAGTTACTATGACTCTTGCAGTCATAAAAGATTTGCATATATAACACTAGCACAATTCTGCTTGGAATCTGGCTTTTTTGCACAAGTATTCTCAAAATGTAGGTTTTCATTTAAAAGAAAAAGATTCTAGCTCTCAAAATTGTGAGGATAACTTTGAAAATGTAAACCAATGTGGTGATTTGTACCCATATCTACAGGAAGTGTGACACAGAATCTTTGAGAGCTCTGACATGTTCCATTCTTTTATTTGAGTTACTAATTCTGTAGCTTTTAAAAGTAACATTTTAAATGTTAGTGCAGAAATTTTCAGCAATGGAAACTTTGGGAAATAATTAAACTTACTTAATTGAAACTGCCACCGAATTTCCAGTGTGCTGCACTTCCATGCTGCAGAATCCTGGAATCTTGCTGCAAAAATTACATGCAGTTTGCAGCAGAGTACACAGAGCATTTAATGTTAATCTCTAGAGAACAGTATTTATCACCACAACATTGTATATGTTCTGCTGCTTATAAGAGGTCTGAGGTGAAGATGATCAATATTTTATAGCATGTTCCTCCAGCTGTGGAGAAATTCAGTCTGTATTGCTGAAGCAGGACAGTCTACTATTAAATGTTTTAATTTGCAAACTTCTGTCTATACCTGTTACTTTTTAAATGCAAACCAAATCTGGGATGTGGACAATTTTCTGAATAGAGAATATTTTAACTGCCTTTAAAGAGTCTATATGCAATGACATGAATTTTTCTTGAAACTCTAAGCCGGGGTGGGGAACCTCAGGCCTGGGGGCTTGTCTGGATCCAGCCCCCAAGGCTCAGGGCTCCCTTCCTAACATTGGGGAGCCTGTGCCTACTGAGAGACTGGAGCACACAAAATCTACTAGCCTGGACCCCATTGGGCTCTGGTGTGAGAAGGGAATGTGGGGAGTGTCTTTCTCCTTCACAGACAGAGGCCATATCAGTGAGGTTTGGTTTTTTTTTTTTGTTTGGTTGGTTGGTTGGTTTTTTGGCTTCTTGCTTGTGTGTGGCCCCAACTGATTTTTCTGTGGGCCAGTGGCTCCTGAAAGATATGTTGTACTGTTCTTGTGCAAACGTTGCTTACAGACTGTTTTCATCATTTTAACTTAAATTCTGTACCCTTTTTTCATGAGGGACGATGTACCTGCTGCCCTGGAAGCTGCAATTGACTGTTTTAAGAAGTATGGCAATATCCCTAGGCTCCATGACATCTTGTGTAGGCTAATAGAAAAAGGAAATACTGATCTCCTGCAGAAAGGTTAGTTGGATATAGTCTAATATTATTGGATGGGTTATTTTAGGTGCTTGATGGAGCTGGTGTTTTAGTTTTAGTTTTTTTACCTTTACATCAGGCTATGCAAACAGTGGAAAGACATGTGGAGTATTTGTACATCACTTTAAAGCTTTCAGCAACATCTAGTTGCAAAGTAAAAAAAGATACTTATTGTAAGTATGAAGCAATTTAATGCTTCCATAACTAAATACCTGGCTATCAACAGAAGACTGCCACAAGGGAATATGCACCTGTCTCTTGATGGTGAAAGAGGGGCATATAGAAGAAATTATGGTGCTTCAACATATTAGATTAAGAAATCCTAAATCCCTGTAGTCTACAACAGTATAGAATGCTAATTTTATAATCGGTTAATTCTGTTGAATTATTATAAAATAGAATGCAGATTAGCAAAAATATTTGAAATATATTTAACCTCAGTCTGCAACATATCTTATAATATTTTGTCCTCATTCTTAGTATCTCTTTTCAGAAAATTATTTCCCTGTCACTTCAGTGTTTTGCCAGGTGTGGGGAATCTTATTTGTTAGATTACTGTTGACATCTCTTTTTAAAATGCATCCTGGTTATTAAAAAGGCAGTTAAATGAGTTTTCTTCTCTCTATCTATAGCCATGGACTTTGTGAGCCAAGAACGAGGTGAAATGACGATGCTCTATGATCTCTTCTTTGCCTTCCTAAATACAGGAAAATATAAAGAGGCCAAGAAGATCATTGAGGTGGGTTTTTAACTACGCTACTGTAATCATGCAGCTATTTAGACTCTTAATTAGAATACATTAAAAAATTTTAACCTTTAATTAGACTTGTTCTGATTCATGTTAATAAAATTCAATCCTAATAATGAAGGGGGAAAAAACAGAGAACTCGGCCAGCTTCTTTATTATGTATAATTACTGTTCAGAAGAGAGACAGTCTGGTTGTATATTGAAGTTGTTTCTTTACTTTATCAAATTCACTGTTACATATCAAAATGATATTTGCATATTAAATCTCACATTGTGGAACAA